CTCACCTTGTTTCTCTTTTTAACAAAGCCATTCTTCTTTCCAAATTCAGGCCTTTGCACTTGTTTCTTGACCCGAAATGAAATGCCTCTTCCAGTTCTGCATGGTTGACTCAGGTTCATCCTGTATGTCTTTGTGAATGTTGTCCCCTCAGAGGGGCCTTTGCTGGCCACCCTTTTTAAAGTGGCCTCCTCTGGTTCTTCTTACTCTCCTTGCCCTTCTCCTTACTTCTTGCAACTTTCTTGTCAAAAGACTACTGCTCATGTGTGAATTAATCATCAATGTCCTCCATAAAATAAAAGGTCTACAAGATAGGGGCATGTCTAGCTTGGTCTCAGCTACATCCCCAGGGCCTATCCCTGTGTCTGGCGCATAATGGGAGTTAATTCCAATATGTTACATGGATTTTAAAAAAAGAAAAAAAAACATAAAATAAGGAAGAATAAAAGAATAAAAACCCTAAGTCAATAAACACAAATAAGAAATGAAACTTACTATTTCCCCAAGGCTCTGCTACAGATTCAGAAGACAAAGTCCAGCTCTTCTGGTCAAGAATACACACACTGGGGCCAGGGGTGTGGCTCAATAGTAGAGCACTCACCTAACATGCATGAAGCTCTGAGTTCAGTCCAAGTTCAAAAAAAAAAAAACCAAACCCACATCTTACCACCATCACTTCAGCCAGTGCTACCACCAGGCAAGTCATCTAAGTAGAAAGACCAAAGAACTGGGATTTCTACCTTTATCCCTAACACTAACTGCAATTTTTAGCAAAATTAAGTGACTTCATGCTCTGAGACCTTATTTGTGAAATGAAAGGACTGTATGTTTACCTTTAAAAACCTAAATTCAGTATGGAATTTGTAGACTCTACTTATGCCATTTCTCTTTTTAAATAAAAGCCTATTACACAACAACAAGTGCTGGCAAGGATGTGGGGGAAAAGGTACACTGATTCACTGCTGGTGGGATTGCAAAACAGTGCAACCACTCTGGAAAGCAATATGGAGATTCCTTAGAAAACTTGTAATGAAACCACCATTTGACTCAGCTATCCCACTCCTCAGTCTATACCCAAAGAACTTAAAATCAGCACCCTACAGTGATGCAACCACCTCAATGTTTACAGCAGTTCAATTCACAATAGCTAAACTATGGAACCAACCTAGATGCCCTTCAACAGATGAAAGGATAAAGAAAGAAACTGTGGTATATAACGCAATGGATTATTACTCAGCCTTAAAGAAGAATAAAATTATGGCATTTACAGGTAAATTGATGGAGCTGGAGAATACCATGCTAAGCGAAGTAAGTTAATCCCCCAAAACCAAAGGCCAAATGTTTTCTCTGATAAGTAGATGCTGATCCCTAATGGGGTTGCACAGGGTGTACGGGTATGCAAGAAAAGAATGGAGGAACTCTAGATTGGGCAGAGGGGAGGGAAGGGAGGGAAAGGGGTGTGGAGAAGGGGGAGATGATGGAATGAGACAGACATTATCACCCTATGCTCGGTATGACTGCACAAATGGTTTGACCCTACATCATATACAACCAAAGAAATGAAAAGTTGTGCTCCGTTTGTGTAAAAAATAAAATAAATTTAAAATAAAACAATGACTTCAAAAATAAAAATAAAAAAGGCTATTACACAATCCTGCGTTCTAAAACCTATGTCTAGGCACACCTCTTTCCCTCTAACTCCACCACCTTACCTCACAACCTTGAGTCCCATGCTCCTGAATAACTACCCAGGGAGGCAATGGCTTTTCTCTTTTGTTCGTTATCTCTAAGCAGAGAAAAGGAATGAAAAATGATCTCAACCTTCCCATTGGGCAATTCCATCTCTGATGTGGCAACTGTACAGCTGGAAAATACCTGCATGAGATCCTAGAGTCCTCCCCGGCTCTGAGCAAGATCACTGCTCACAACTCTAGTCTTCCAGTGGACATAAACTGACACACCCAGAGAAAACTAAGGGCGGAGTTTTGTGATTCAGGCCTCTATTTGGTCAGAATATTGACTTCTGGGTAATTTTTTTCCTTTAGGATTTTAGGAAAGACTAAGTTTTAACTGTGAGAATGACTTACCCTGAAAAGAATATCATTTTTTAAGATCACCAAAAAAAAAAAAAATATATATATATATATATATATATATAAAACCAAGTACTTCCTGTGAGGTAAAAGGACAGAAGGTAGGGTAAGGAATCCACATGTATGGGCCCTGAGAATGAAGGAACTCTAGAAAGACAAAGTGATACTTTCCTACCTGGGTTTGTTTAAAAAATACTCTGTCATGAGTACAGGGGGAAGGGAAGAGACAATGAAATAAGCCACAAAATCCAACCACCCTCACACTCAGAGCGAGGAAAGTGAAAATCTCCTGGCTGGCCTTAGAACCAATTAAGCAAATAAGTGACAATCACTTAGCTATCTCCCTCTATGCCCCTTCTCTGAGCTCAGCCAACAGCCATCTCCCTCTTCTGTCCCCCACTGTCTACCACACTATCCAATCCAAAATAACCCAGGACACACTGATAGTATTCTGGTTCTATATATAAAGTTTACCTGCTCTGGGTTAATTCACTGCTTTTCTTAGTCCCCCAGCCCTATGCTTTCCTTGGGTTTACCAGAATAGGAAAAAAAAGAAAGAGAAAAAAACCTAGCCAGAGAACACCCATCTCTGCTTCCCAGATTTACTCCTCGTTCATTCCAAGCTCCTGGCTCCTAATTCTCCCCAGACCCCTCCATCTGCTGATCCCCCAGTTTCATCCTCCTGCTCACCAGCAGTACCACAGGGGTCCCAGGCAGTTGGCACTACAGCTGCCACTAGCATGAGGGCACTGGCAGAGACCAGAGGGAGCCGTCACATTACAAGAAACACTGACTGCAAATGACAAGTTTACGTTTATTCAATTGTTGAAAGGAGATGCATCTGTGCCAAGAAAATCCCATTCTCCAGTCACCAAATTTATGGAGTATTTCCTGCATTTCAAATATTCACTCCTCAGAAAATGTGCAAGGATCATAGAACACAGTCCTACACCTAAAATTTATATTAAACAGAAAAGTCTTTAAGACTTGGGAGAAACCTTGACTCAGCTTCTCCATCCCACCTCTGCCCCCAAGAAAGTTAACCAAGATGCTCTCCCTGAAGCGTCTACTGGGAAACCTAATTGGCTGAATTTCCACAGGTTCACTGTATACCCAACCCCAGGCAGTGTGTACTCAATTGTCCTCTCATTGTTTCAAGAGTGAATATAGGCTGATGGCCAAACTAGAATGTCAGCTTTCCAGGGGCAGGACGAATACTTCTTTAGCTTTCCACTTCAGCATACGGTTGAACATTTGGTAGACTATGCAAATACTACTAATGCATCCTAAAATTATTTCGAAGAATTTTTTTTAGTTGTTTAGTATTTTAAGAAAAAAATGTTGAATTGTCCCTTTAGATGCTTTTCTGTTTTTGTTTATTTAGGAAGTTACAGCAGACCTTACTTGATACATAAACCAAAGAAACCCCCATTAAGTTTTTCACTGTCTGGATTATAAGATGGACTGACAAACCATCTCCAGGAGGGAGGATCTTGCTTTTTTTTTTGCCTTCATTGCAGCACAAAATATTCAATAAATGCTTCACTGCACGGACTCTTCAGAAGATGGAGTCAGAGATCTATTTGCTTTACTCTTCCTTTCCCATTTTTCCTCAATCCCCAAACAAAGGCCACATTCTGAAGACATTGGGGAATGCTCACTGCTCAAGAACCATCAGAGGACAGAACCCCAGCATTCCTCTTCTAAACTAAAAACTGACACTACAAAGGAGCAAATTCTCCTCCTTGAAGATCAAAGTTATCTTTCCAGGGAAGAATCCCAAATCATTCTTTAAACCTTCAGTCATTATGTAAACTGAAACCTGGGTGGCACATAATTTTTGAATGACGGATATTCACAACAGAATGTTTATACAACAGACAAAACACTAAACCACATACTTTACTGGTTAACTTGTAAAATTCACTTTGCACTACTAATTTTAATTTTTCAGTAACTGATACTCCTTTAAAATTTCAGTGATAGGATATGTACTTTGATTCTCCTCATTCAAACACAATGTTGTCATTTATCAAAACACTAGAAAAGGGAATTTCTTTCTTGGTTTAAAAATTCAGTATTTTGGTTATTTTTAAACCCCATAGTTGAATAACATTCTCTATTGTATTTGTGACTCACCCACAAGTGAGATGTCACCATCCACATAAGTGGTAAATAAAACATATTAGAACAGAACTCTAGCTTCAAAGTTCCTTATGATTTAATTTAAAAAAAAATAAAGTCTTTCCCTTCAACATTTTGACATCTGGATGTTGCTTTTTTATGGTTTAAACTAAAAAAAAAAAAAATTTAACTTGGGCTGAGGAACTATTAATCAAAAGATTTTTTCCTCCACATTGTTAAAAGGAGACAGTGTTCCTCGCAAACAAGAAGACAGCTCAAAACTTTCCTAGAACTTTCAGGTACTAAAAGTGTTCTCCTTTTTTTTTTTTTTTTTAATCTTTCTTAGTTCTACATGGACACAAAACCTTTATTTGTTTATTTATTTTTATGTGGTACTGAGGATTAAACCCAGTGCCTCACGTGTGCAAGGCAAGCGCTCTGCCACTGAGCCACAACCCCAGTCCATGTTCTCCACTTTGAGTGGGTAGTGGGCTATACAGACGTACACATAAACTATACTCTTAGGATCTCTATATTTTACTAGTTGTAAAGAAAAAAGATTCTTTAAACTTTTCCGTAAATGACATTTCAAAGTCGATCGTCAATGTCATGTGTAACTTACAGAATTCATCTCAGACCTAAGGTTTTCAAGACTTAACAGGATCCTAAAGCCAAAGGATATCCCACCGAAAAATGAAAGAGTCACCTCCCCATTCCTATTATCCTGACATTTCCATCTCAAATATGTTCAAATGGGAACTGCCCAGGATCAGAGGCTCCACTCACCTCAGCTGTCTGCGAAGGCATCTTCAGTTTGGTGAGCTTGGCTTCGGCAGGCACTTTTGAGTCTGTTCTTTCAAAGTTCTGTTGCCGGTACTCCTCCGGCAGTGGTTTCAGCTCAGGAGACTCACTTGGAGCCTGATCTTGACCATCCATGGGCCTCACATAAGCTGTGGGCTTCTGCTGCATTGCAACACTTTTTGAGGGGAGGGAGGGGGGTGGAAATGTCTGAGAAGGTGGCTGGGGAGGGGCTACCCCATGGCTGACAACTGCCACCAAACTGTCTTGAAGGGTCTCATTATCATGAACCTTCACTGCCAGGTCCTTGGGAGACTTGGTTGGGCAGTGGCCTTTATTGTTATTGCTACTACTGTGAACCTTGCTGCTTCCTTGCATCCTGGGAAGAGTTTGCTGGTTGGAATGTATAGGTGACAAAGGGGGCACTGGGGAAGGCAAAGAAGAAATCAAGGGAGAGAGCTCCCTTACTGGAGCTGAGTCTATTGTTAAAGCACAATGGTCTCCATCAGCTCTACGGTCACCTTTTTTGTGATGACTAGAGCTGTATCCCTCCTGTCCGAGACGGTCCTGGATCAGGTGCTGGCTGTCAGGTGGGCCATAGTTTTTGGCATGGAAACTTGGCAATGGTTCCATTCTTGGCTGTGCTATCTTTGGATTGTGGCTAATGTTACCAACAGGAAGTGGTCCGGAGGCGGGAGTGTAAATGGGCTGGTGGTGGATACTGGTATGGAAGGAGTTGGATGGAATGCTGCTCCCCTTGTCAGGAAATAAAGAATATCTCGGTTTTCCCAACCTATTTTCAGAAGCATCCAAGCACTGAGGGTGGGACTTGGTACTAAGGAACTCCTTCACTTCTTCATAATTTCCCAACATGTTCTGTATCCGACTGGACAGCTCATCACCTTTTGCTGTCTGAATAAAAGAAAAGAGCATGGTCAGATACTGGAGGGAATAAGTCTAAGGAGAACAATCATTTAATAAACTGCTACATAATACCATTAAGATAAAAATTCTCAATGTCATGTGTAACTTACAGAATTCAATGTGGAGTTTTAACTCATTTCCCATTGTAAAGCCCGTCTTGCATACATATTACTAATTATACAAGACATTACAAAAGAAAACCATAAACTTTGGTAGTTTTAACTAATGATACTCAGAGAATTTTCAGATTTGGTTCCAAAAACAATCTCTAGAAGAAGTTTTCACAATTATGAACCTTATTTGAATTCAATTACACTGAATCATTTCATCACCGAGCTCAATATTATGATAAATCAGATTTTCACACTCTAGTATACAGTAAATACCTTGTAAGGTTCTCCAAAAAGGGGGATTTTTTCAGGAAATGTCTCCTTCTCTTGGTGAGCTTCCTGATTGCGTCTCTCTTTCTCTCTAATTCGAAGCAGGTTTCTGTCTTCATTGTACAAGCTATTTCAGATGCCACAAAAAAACAAAAACAATAAAACCTATTAGTATTCAAGTTTTGTCATGCCCATGGTACGCATGTGGAGCAAGATGAGGATAGGTCTAAGGAGAAGAAACGACAGGGATGTGACTTAAAGAAAGTCCCTTAACCCATCCCTAGACTGAGGCTTCAGTCAACTGGCTGTGACCTGTCATCCACTGTCCTGTCTTCTCAATCCCAAGCACCCACTCTAGGCCTCCGTCATGGCTCAGGACCGACTCTAAGACAAACGGTCTTTTATAGGCGCTGGGGAACTGAGACAAGAGTAATGATATTTTGACTTTCGGCTTGCAAAATATGGGGTAGAGGCAGAAGCTTTTCATCTGAAGGAATCAGCAGGATGTGAACTTTAAAAAGGCTGTTTTCCTGGATCAGTGTCATACGTTTTGGAAGATTAAAATCAAAAGGCTTATTTTATAATTAAAAGATTACCAGGCACCCAAAACAGCATTTACCTTATTCTCAGCCTACTCTACTGGGAGTGTCTTGGCATGTAAATCCAAAAAAGACAATTTTTATTTCTTATTTCTAGTGTCAAGGATGAGAAAATCCAATTATAGATGTCAGCTCTACCTAGTGAGAATGTCTTACAAACTGATTGCCCTACTTTAACCATATAAAATACATCTAAATCATCAGCCTTGGCACCAGAGGGGTTAAAATGCACTCATTGAGGAACAGATCACAGAAATGGATTCTGAAAGAAGGGCAATTTTAGTTGTCTCATGAACCAAAGAGGGCCTGCCGGTTGCAACACAACCGGCTCATGTGATAATAAATAATGAAAATTAGAACTATAAAAAGCCTTTTGTCTTCATAGACTTGCTTCTAGAGAATCCCCTGAATCATTTTTCCCATTGCTATTTAAACAGGAAAATATTCAATTGCCTCGGCTGTGTGCACTACTACAAACTCTAACCTCCCTGGTCCTTCCCTCTCTCTTGACTTAGCTTATTTCCTCTGGCAAAAGCTTGGTCGATTCTTTGGCTCCCCCATATCCCTCAAATTCAGCTTTCCCATGAAAAGAAGCCTGGCCTAAGGCCCCGATTCTCATGTCACTATCCATATTTAAAGTAACATTATTTGATGGTTCCTTTATATTGCAGAATAAACTGAATCCTTGCTTTGGCATTAAAATTCCCTCATAATCTGGTACAGCTCAATTATGGGGGTACATGACCCCACTATACCCCCAAAAGGCCTACCATATGCATTCTACTTGATTCCCATAAGTCCGTTTCCCTGTCAGGGCATTCTCTTGCTCTAATGCCCATCAAGACCTTTACTGAAAGATAAGCAATTCTTCCAGGATCAACTTAGCTAGGAAGTAGGACTGTCCAAAACACCACTTCTATATTCTAGTCACACAAGACTACTCCCTGCTTCTCAGTGATATCCTAGATTTTGATGGTTTCATTCTAATCACAAAAATTTCTATGGCTTCTCTTTCAACCTCACATCCTCAGCCCCAATTGTCAGCTTCCAGAAGATCTCTGGAAATATTCGAATGTCACCCACTCCAAAGGCTTCCTCAAATTCACCAAGTGTGTGCTTGCTGGACAGGTCATTGGTTACCTCTTCTCCCCCACTTTTCCCTAGAACATGAACTTCAGTAGAATAGAACCTCTTGTTCTGCATAACCTCCTCCTGGTTCAAAGGCATGATACTTTGCATAGAAGTTAATCATTAAATATTTTTAAATAAAAAAGGCAGCCACTGTGCTTTCAGTGCTGCTGTTGTTATTTTAATAAAATTACTTGCAACTTTTTTCTTAAACTCTGGAAAACACAATTTTCTAAAAATAAAAAAATAGAGCCGTGTAACTAAAAAGAACATAAATAAATAAATAAATAAATAAATAAATAAATAAATAAACTAATTAATTAGAGCTATTTTAAAGACTGTTATTACCACAGTCTTTCAATCTAAAAGTAGGGAGAACTAAGCTACCTGATTAAATTTGATAGATAGGATACTGTCAAAAATCATCTGCTTAGACCATTACTCCTTAGAAGACAGATATTGCAATTTTAGATTTTAACAGAACTCATAATTACCAAGGTAACTATTTAGGATAGTGAACACACTGAGAGAAAATAAATTAGAACTGACTGGAATCTTTTCTAATTGAGTCTGGATGTCACATGCTTTGGATATTTAGACTTAGGTCTGATTGACAGTAGCACAATGGACTTGACCACTCAAGGATTCCTTTCAATTATTTAATGATTTTGCTTATTCTTCTTGTTGTTTCAAGAGGTGACATACATTAGCATACAGCTGCATAAGCTACTTGAGAATGCTGATTAGAACATAATTTTTTTTTTCCTTTACACTTGTCTTTCAGCCACTTTGGGTCAATTTGCAGGAAGTGGTGATGTATGCAACTATACTCTGGAGCCACTTGAAACTCCCAAGAGCCTTTCCTGAAAAACTGCCCTGTGCACCACGACCCACACCTTGCTGAGGTCAGGCCAAGCTGCACGGGTGGTTAAGCAGGAGCTTACCAAGGGCCCCAGCTCAGCTGTGCTCACCAGCAGGGGAGTTGTTTTCTCCCCTTCTGTTACTGCTAGTTTCAGCCCTGGAGTCCCTAGAGCTTTATTTGCTCCTCAGTGTTCACAGCTTTTGGCTCTGCTTTGAAGGGCAGTGTTATGGTCACTTCTGAGCAGTCTCTACCTTTGTCTCAGAAAAGAGAACCTCAGACAGCAAAATTCTCAGTGGGGAACTAAAAAGTGAGGGTGTGAATAGTAGTCCCTCAACTAAGGCTGCTCGGAGGTCCTTGCTTAATTTCCCCTTTATTCTATACTCAACTGTATTTAAACAAAATGACACTAGTTTGCAATCACTAGAATATTTCTAAATCAATCAGCTCGGTCTTGTGTCAGCCTCATCTCAGGATCAGTTAGGTTTCAACGTACTTCTGGTTTTTCATTCCAAAATAATGAAAACTGTTACAGAAATAACCAGAAAAAAAAAAAAGCAATTAGGCTGTTCTTTCATAAAATGTCTAACGCTGGGCTTATTACTATGTGATTCTAAAATCAAGAGGCCTCCCACAGAAGAAATCCTATTAAGTTAAGGATTCTGGTTAATTAAGGTTTTACTTCATTTGTTTCAAAAAAATTAAAACCTACACCAAGATCTTATTGGCAAACATATGCAATACTCTGCCAATTTTAAAGCAAACTATGATTTTGTTTTGTTTTGGTTTTGGTTTTAAATCACTCTCACTCTTCAACTGAAAAGCCTGTAAATAGTGAGGGAAATCAAGACACAATGCATGTTACTTCTAGGATGAATCTTATGAGGCTCAGACCTTGTGAGACTCTCACTCATGCCCTCTGGGGCAACATCCTTTTGGACCTCACTCACCAAGGCTCCTGGGCAGGACAGAGAAAGGCCAAAAAGGCAGGAAGTTCACAGAGGTGCATGGGGGAAGCTGTGAACCCTGGCTGTGGGTTGCCTCCTTTCTTCTTGCAACTGACAGGCCTTTGCCAGTTGTACTGACTGGACTTACGGTTTGTTCCACTTTATACTTAAAACAAATCTGAAATGGCTGAGGGAAGAGTCTTTAAAAAAAATTCCCAGGCAAAAATTTTTCAGAAATATTTCCCTTTTTATGATTCCATTTGGAAAAGAAAGGCAATGTAACTTTTTTTTCAGTTGTAGATGGACACACAATACACAATATCTTTATTTTTAAATAGTGTTGAGAATCGAACCCAATGCTTCATATAGGCGAGGCAAGCGCTTTACCAGTGAGCTACAGCCCCAGTTGGGTAACGTAACTTTTTAAACAACACAAACAATTCATAGCATGAGTAAACTTTTGTTTAGCCTATAATATATCATGGTTCTCAAAACAAGGTATAAGCAAAGAGTGGGCAGGGGGGAAAATGTTAAATAAGGGGATTTTCAGGAAGCAGCAAAAATGTTGGACATGATTCACAAACTCTGTAATTACCCTTGAATAATTACAAGTTAACTATCACTTTAATGAAAGGTGGCTTTTCCCCCACTGTGTTGGGGGGGAAAAATGCATTTTCACTCTCAGACACACACAGGATAACCTCATCCCAACATCAGCCTGGTGAGAAGTTCTCACTGATCCACACATAATACAGTGAGTTACCAGCTCTCCTGGCTGGCATCTGCAAGGCACTTTGCATTAAAGAGGTTCTCCACCTTGAGTGAACAGAGTCACGTGAAGGGCTTGTGAAAACAGACCACCAAGAACCACAGAGTTTCCGTTCAGCAGTTTGAAGGTGGGGCCTGAGACTGGTATGGTGAACGACTTTTCTGGGTGGTTTTGAGGGGTACAATGGAGTTCACACTGATGGGAGCTGACCTCAAAGCAACACACTCAGGTGATTAGCAACCTGCCAACTTTGGGGCTGATCCTCAGTCTGTATCCTGCTTAGTTTGCACAACCACCCTGTGACAGTGGGATTGTGACCCCCATTTTCCAAGTGAAAAATAAGGCTCAAGGAGTGACTTCTTTATAACTATAGGCCTGATGGTCCCAATGCCTGGCAACAAAGTGCGTGCTCTCAATCACAGTTCTGGAAGCAGAACTTTCTGACGTTGTTAGACCCGTCTACAACAACAGAAGATGTGCTCACTTAGAGCCACTCATAATTCCTTAGTCTCAAGGAGGTACATGCTGATAAGTCAGGATCGTCCCAGCCAGCAGAGCAAGCTCAAAGCCACAAAACGGATGTCTGCTAAATGTGTCCACACAGGTCTGACCTTGTCTAAAGACCTCACAGAAGGCCCTTAGAAAGAGGGAGAGCAGCCAGGCATGGTGGCACATGTCTGCAATACCAGCAGCTCAGGAGGCTGAGACAGGAGGATTGCAAGTTCAAAGCCAGCCTTAGCAACAGCAAGTGTTAAGCTACTCAATGAGACCCTGTCTCTAAGTAAAATACAAAATAGGGCTGGGAATGTGGCTCAGTGGTCGAGT